TCTTAACGCGTCCTACGAAATTCTTACGAGACAGCACTAGTCCGTGAATTTGTGAACAAGATCGGAGATCTAAAGATGCAATCTCTACCGTGCATCAATGGCGGCCTGCTGGATCTCAAAAGAGATTCTTTTATATATATATATATATATATATATAGAGTAGGCATCAATGTGATTGCGAGCACGTATGTTCCCAGTAAATTAAATAATAATAGAGATATTGATAAAATCAAATGAAACGGTTGACGTATTGGAGGAACATAAGTATTTTATTGCACACGAATATTTCGTCCTGTCCTCAGGACTTTCTCAACATGAATGAACAAAAAAATTACAAAGTAGATAAATCATTAGCTATGGAATAACAGTAAATAACAATGAAATAACAATAAGACAATGCTGGGCGTAATTAGTTATTCGTGAAAGTATAGCCACTAGCAAAGCCTAGATCTCTGTTAAGTCCCTTAGTATGTGATTTAATACGGAATATCCATCGTAACTCATATGTGTACCCTGAAATGTATACTGGATACTAATACAAATGTTAAAAATAAAGACACGTCCAGTGAACTGAAGCGTTTCTACCATTTTTGCAGTAAAATTATGGGTAACACTTTCTTAATTACAAACTTTTCTACGTTCAAGTTGGTAAATTGTATGTTACTTCAATGAACAAGTTAATTTCAAAAGTGACAATACATCTTTGATCACTAATGTTTTTTTTTAAATTTATATTGTATGAGCCAAATATTTATGCACAATGAATTAATAAATTCCCTGTTTAGTAAAAAAGAAAATATGATTTATGTTTGTTAAAATAAATGATACTAAACTATTCATACTTTTTATTAATCTACCTTGTTGACAGAGTGCCCCCGTGGAAAGTGGCTACCCCCAGATTGTGAAGACATCTGCCCTGTATGTTATAATGGAGGAGTGTGTTCTGTTGAATTTGGAACTTGCATCTGTCCTCCAGGCTTCGAAGGAGATAACTGTGAAAAGGGTAGGCCTAATGTGTTGTTTAATTGTTAGGGTTTGTTGATTATTACTGTATTCGAAATTCGACTAGTGACAGTTAGTGATACTTATATTTTCGTCCTTGTTAAACTTTAACAACATCTTCAGTGATAGAAAATTAATAACATCATTTAAAATACAATAGATAATTTAAGCATATTAATTAATTTATACAACTTATTTTTATACAATTTATTTTTCTTCAGTAGTTTAATAATAATATTCAAGATATCCCTACAATTAAACTATTTTAAATGTTTTTTCCATTAAACAAATTTATACATGCAATATTATTATTATGATTCATAAACCTACATAACGATTGCACATAAATATATAGACCTATCATATGATAGTTGATGTTACCGAATAAAGAAGTCTCGATGTTTAAAGTTGGTTTTATTTTTTCATAGTGTGTGGTTTTAATTACTGGGGTCGCGATTGCACTCTAAGATGCAGCTCAGAAAACCCAGGTTGTCCAGGAATGTTGTTTTGTCCTCCTGACCCTCTCGGTTGCTTGTGTATGTCTGGATATGGAGACCTTGATTGCAGGAGAGGTAAAGCAGTATAACATTATAGTATAGTAACTACAGTGTACCCTCCATTTCCAGACCCCTCTAATTTCTAAGAACAATAAAATAAATGAATCTAATAAAACAAAGCTAACCCTCTTGGTCTCGGATTAGAGGGTAAACTGTATAGTATTGTCGGAAGACGGCTTATTATATGTATATATTATATATGTATATACATACATATATTGAAAATGTAGAACTTGTAGAACTGGGTACAATCACTCTACAGACTGTTTCATGCTAATGCAATCTTCAGGAGTGAGAGAATACAAGGATTGTGTGAGTATATGAATTCTAAGGCAGGTGAAAATGCAAATGAGTTAATTGTTTTTAAGTAAGTATTTGTTGTTGTGCCTGCATTTAGAC